ATCACTTTCGTACGAAATGAAAGTCTCCCCAACAATCGCGTAGTTATTTGACGATTCCATTCAATTTCACATTGTCTTGCTTTCCCAAAAGTTGTTCTCATCCCCGGCCGGAGTGGACTGCAGTTTCGACCTCGCTACGGTCTTATCAACACCCCAGCGGGATTCGAACCGTGACAGTGCAGAATGGGGGCTCGACACGTTAACCACTCGACCACATTGCCCCGAGTCGCCTTGGGTCACAGGGCAGATGTGAATTTCAAGGAAGGCCAGGCATTTTGTCATATCATATTCTTTGGGCCAATTCGAGGTCGAAACTGCACTCCACTGGTGCCTGGATAAGAACAACTTTTGGTAAAACAAGTAAATGTGAAATTAATTCTAAACGTCAGCTCTACTCATATCATTGTGGGAAAATTCTTATTCTACCAGTCCTTAATCAGCTTAAACGAAATTGGGTGAATACATCTCATACTACTGATTTACTGATAGCCTCGAAACTCTACTCAAACATGAGGAATATATTTGCCTATTACCAAATGTCCGCGACTACGGTCTGTTTGACTTTCGGCCTGAAGACTCACCTTTAGTGAAGTCGTCGTGTCCAACTTCGGCGCCTTCTTGGCTGTCCGGAATCCCATCTCCGTCAGTATCGATGGCCTCATCCGCCTCTTCGTCGTCTGGGATTCCGTCGCCGTCGGCGTCCGCTTTGGCGCGAATCTTGGGAGCTGAACGCGAACGATAAGGTTTTAACAGAGATTTGAAGAAAGAATTAGAAGATGGTGTTGTTGGTGTTGCAGGTGTTATGGTTGCCTGTTTGTTTAGCTCGTCTTTAGCTCTTTTCGGAGCAACGCCATCTGCTGACTTGCCCACTTTGGCAACCCTTTTTTTGCTGGCAGACATCGCCTCTTTTGGTCCGGCCTTGCTGGCCTTCTTCTTTGCCAGACCCGCCTTAGGCCCTCTACCACTTGCGCCACCCCCGAACCTAGCCAGGCTGCACTTGAACCCTCTTTCTGTATACCCTGCACCACTTGCCGGTCCGTCAGTGTCCTCTTCCTGCCAGTCCGGTATGCCGTCGCCGTCCTCGTCCTCCAGATAGTCGGGGGTACCATCTCCGTCGCTGTCGACATTCTTGTCGCCATGCCAACAGGCTTGCGGTTCGCTACCGGCCGGACCATGAATATAGCTGTCCTTGTCAAGGTAGTTCGGGATGCCGTCACCATCATCGTCCTCCAGATAGTCAGGGATGCCATCCCCGTCTTCGTCTTCCAGGTGATCGGGTATTCCGTCCCCGTCGGTGTCCGTCTCTAAGTCAGCGAAACCTCTGCCAGTCGAGATTTTACCCGATTTCTGATCATCCTTGTCCAGATAGTTAGGCACTCCATCGCCATCATCGTCTTCCAGGATGTCAGGGATCCCATCACCGTCCTCATCCTCCAGACTGTCCGGAATGCCGTCGCCGTCACTGTCTTGCAGCTTCAAGGCTTCAATCGCCATGTCTAACCCA